CCTGAGTAGAGTGCGGTGGCATCAGCCTAGCTCACAGCAACCACAAACTCCTGGGCTCAAGCGATCCTCCTGCCTCAGCCTCCCAAGTAACTGGGACTACAGGTGCATGCCACAACACCCAACTCATTTTTCTATTTTTAGTAGAGACAGGGTCTCGCTCTTGCTCAGGCTGGTCTCAAACTCCTAAGCTCAAGCAATCCCCCTGCCTCGGCCTCCCAGAGTACTAGGATTATAGGCATGAGCCACCGTGCCCAGACTGAACATTTCCATTTTCAAGAAAGAAGTAACCCTGGCAGAAGAAAGCAACAGCCTCTAGAATCAGGTAGACCTATGCATCACCTTATATTGGCTATTATCTTGAACAAGACACTTAAGTTCTCTAAGACTCTGTTTACCCATTGACAAAATGGGGAAAATAATACTGACAATATTTGCAAATAACCTGGCACATAACAGTCACCCAGTAAACAGGAACTGCTTTTATTTGTTTTTTAAATTTAGTTTTATAAGGAAACAAGGACCTGATGTTAATCCAGGGGTTCTCAGTCCTGGCTATATATGTGAATCACCTGGAGAGCTTTGAAAAAGTAAAGCTGTCTAGACTATACCTCAGACAAACCAAATCAGAATCTCTAGGGTTGAGGCCTAGATATCAACATTTTTAAAAGCTCTCCAGGTAACTGCAATGTGCAGTTGGAAGTGAGAACCACAGTAACTAGCCAGAAAAGAAGTCCCAATTTTTACCATCTGAAGCTAACTTTTTTGATTAACATCTATCCGCTCTACAAAACAAACCCATCAGGTCTACCCTCTCAAATCAGAACTACTGCTATGTCATGGTGAAATGGAAGCTAAGAGAATTTGAACAATTTGTTTCTGGGAGAAAAGATAACCAGGTTTAAAATTCTCACCAAGTCCTAAAGCCAACATCTCTTACTCAGATGCATTTCTATCTGCCGGTATTTCCTCAGCATGACTGGCAAATCTAGTCATGACCTTCTCGTCAATAAACTCCTTTAATGCACTCACCGCCTTAGAATCAAGTCCAGACTCCTCAATAGGAACACAACCCTTCAAAACCTGGCCCCATGTGGTACATGGTGAGGGCAAGTCAAATATATTATTCAGACCGCATTGGTGCTAGTTTAAATAGCCAAGCCACCAACAACCCAAGCAGACACTGCTCAGTCTCAGTTGTGCTCAAGAGGGAACAGTGTTAATACTACAAGATGCAACATGGAAGAATGGCCCTGCTTTTCTTTCTAGCCTAATCTCTCTCTGATCCTCCTTTATTTCCTCCTCATCATCCTCTCTCTCACCTTAGCAGCACCTTAAGGTATGCTTTTCCCTCTGCATGGAACACTGATTCCTTACCCTGCAGACCTCAATGTAAATGTCACCTCCTGGAGGAAGTCCTCCCCAACCACGACTATCACCACTGCTCCACTCCAGGTTAGATGCTCCTGCTGTGTCCTTGCCTCAGAGTTCCCCCATCAGCATTCTCAGTGCTACTGAGTGCAGGGACCATGTTGGTCTTGCTCATTAATTCCCAGGGTCTGGCACCTAGGAAGTGCTAGATGTGAACAAAGAGGAGCCCAGATGGAACATGGAGAAGGCACTCTAACTGATCTACAACAAAAGGTTATTCTCCTAACTCAGGTCTCTGTGGGAAATGTTAACAACTGTTGAAACTTGGTATTAACATATACAATGATCATTCTACTATTCTTCCAATGTTTAAGTTAGAAACTTCCTAATAAACTTTTGGGGGAAAAATTAAGTAACCTCTGCCTCCATTCCTCATCTTACCTTACTTGCTAAATATTATTTAGCTATAGGATACCCATCAAACAACCTGTCATGATAATTTTCCCACCATCTGATGGTAGTGCCATAGGATAGCGAGTACAAACCTGTTACCAATATAAGAAAGTACTAAAGAACACTTAGAGTCAGCTAATAAAAAGCAAGAAGATCTGCCAACCACCAGATACTAGGTTCCAATAAAATGCTGGAATTTCATCAATTTCCTCCTTTTTTTTAAGAGACAGGATCTCGCTATGTTGCCCAGGCTAGACTCAATCCTCCTGACTCAGCCTCCGAAGCAGCTTAGACTACAGGCGCATGCCATGGCACTCAGCTATAATTTTCTTATAATTATAGCCTTTCCTATAAGTAAGGAGAACTGTTGTTCAGGTCTGAGAAGAGGAAGAAAAAGATGCTGCAAAGGGTGTGAGCAGGCTACAGAAGAAAGCACAGTGGCGATCGATTAAAAGTCAGGGGAGCTGAGTTACGTAAATTCAGCTTGCTCTGGTGCTGGTCTAGCAGCCAAGCACCAAACGGTCAAGCATGCTCAATTCCAGAGGCTACCTAATGTGCGCAAGACAGAGTATTATTAACACAAAAGAAAAAGCTCCTGTTCACAACTGCTATTTCTAAAGACTGTGCAATCATAAACAGTACTCTCTAGAAAAAATACTGAAAAGGACATTAACTATTGAAGTTCAATAGATGAAGAACCCCTCACTTCCTATGCCCTCTGTTCCCTCCTGTACAACATTCCTGAGGCAAAGAACTGTGATGTTAGTGCAGCTGACCTAAGCTCTGACACTTGCCATTACCTCTTGCTGCTTCTCCTCATTGGGGTAGGTGTCTATAAACACTCCCAGCCCCACAAATTTGTCCATGTTTCCAAAGACAGGCCCTAGAGAGAGAGAACAGATGATGAACAATGAAATAAAGCCAAGAGTTGATAAAGGAAATACATATCACTATGATGGAGAAAAAAGTGAAATTCAAATGACTCCCAGGCCACTCTTGAGATGAGGAAACATATGTAAAAGTACCCAGCAAAGTGCATGGCCTGTAACAAGAGCCCAGTAAATATCTATAGTTGTTTGTTGCTGAAGGCAAGGGAAAGAGAGAAGGCCACTGCAACCTTATTTAGTACTACGGTAGCTCCTTAATACAAACTGGTTGCTAAGGTGCCCCTACAGAATTCTGCTTTGCAAACACTTGGTGAAGACTATGCCCCCAAGAGAGAACTGAATTCCCAAGTTCTACCTCTTGTTGCAAAAGAGATCAGGTCAAATCAGGTTGAGGCTGCCACCTATGTGGAGCAATGGCTCCTACACAACAAGGAAAAATGGATAACTCTTCTCTGACTCAGCAGTGCTGAGATCATTCATTGTACATGACCAGAAGAAATCATCAGTGTTCAGGAGAGCCAGTGCTTTAACCAGCCAACTGGCTAGGTGGTTTCACAGGGAAACTCAGAAAGAATTAAGAAGCAAGGAATCATCCTAGAGTGAGTCAAGTTCAGCTGCTTGTTAAGACTCGGACCCCATTCTAGAGACTAAACAGGCCAGTGTTCATCCACAGACATCAAGGGAGAGGGAAAACTGCTGGAGTTGTGGGGAAGAAAGCTTTTCAAAAAGAGGGCACATGAAAAGGCAGGCCTGTCACATCCACGCAAGAGCAACCAAGGGTCCCAATACCTGGCTGCATCCGATCCTTTGTATACCAGATTGCCAAGCCATCCCCATGCAGATTCTTCTTCCCTTGTCCATGGATTTTGAAGTGCACTTGCAACTCCCAGTCTCTCAGGAAACATGGCTAAAATGAGAAAAACATTGGAATCAATGAGGAGTATGAAATACAAAAGACCTTGTCAGCAATCTACAGACTTGGAAAACATAAATGCAGGCAACGCTAGATAATAAGGACTAAAACTAAAATCTAAGACTTGCTAAGTGTTCACGTCATAAAACTAAATGGATTTAGCCAATCAACTGTTCAAAAGACTTAGGCTGGGCGCAGTGGGTCACGCCTGTAATCCTAGCACGCTGGGAAGCCAAGGCGGGAGGATCACTCAAGGTCAGGAGTCCGAGACCAGCCTGAGCAAGAGCGAGACCCCCGTCTCTACTAAAAAATAGAAAGAAATTATCTGGACAACTAAAAATATATATAGAAAAAATTAGCCGGGCATGGTGGC